AGCTCATTTGGTCTACGCTCATTGGTGCTCAAGGCCTCAAACCTGTTCCTGAGATGGTTTTGAAATTCGAGTGGGACAGACTTAGGGTCAAATCTTGGTTGCCGTGGACTTGAATTAATTTTCCTCAACTTCAGCTTGAATTTGCATATGAGTAGTGGGTGGTCTGTCCCACAGTCAGCACCTGACCTGGTTTCACTGTTGGTATTGAGCTTCTCCAGCTATGACTGACTCTGAGAAGAATGGGAATCCCAGAACAATTGATCATTCTAATGCGAAACCTGTACTTAGACCAAGAGTCAGTCGTCAGAACAGAGCAGGGAGACACTGGATGGATCAAAATCAAGAAAGGGGTCTGTAAGGGATGTATTTTGTCTCCATACCTTTTCAATCTGTATGCAGAACTTACCATCTGAGATGCTGGGCTGTACGAGGAGGAATGTGGCATCAAGATTGGTGGAAGAATCATCAACAACCTGCGTTATGTAGATGACACAACGTTGCTTGCTGAAACTGAGGAGGACATGAAGCACTTGCTGCAGAAGGTCAAGGACTGCAGTCTTCAATATGAATTGAAGCTCAGTATCAAGAAAACAATGATTCTCACCACTGGGCTAGCTGGCAGCATCAGTATGGATAGTGAAGAGATTGAAATAGTTAACAGTTTTCATTTACTTGATTCCACAGTCGACACTCTTGGTAACAGCAACCAGGAAATCAGGAGATGAATTGCATTGGGAAAGTCAGCTGTGAGGGACCTCTCAAGAGTACTGAAGTGCAACGACGTCAGGCTAAGGTGCACCTGATCCAGGCCATAGTCTTTGCAATTACGTACTATGCATCGGAGAGTTGGACAGTGAATAGGGATGACAGAAAGAGAATTGATGCCTTTGAGCTGTGTTGCTGGAGAAGAGTGTTGAATATACCATGGACTGCTAGGAGAACAAACAGGTTTGTCCTGTAGAGGGTGAAGCTAGAATGTTCCCTGGAGTCAAGGATTCTGAAGCTTCGTCTGACATACTTTGGCCATGTTACAAGGAGGGAGGTCCTTGGAGAGAGACATCATGTTTGGCAGAGTGGAGGGATGGCACAGGAGAGGACGATCCTCGATGAGATGGATCGATTCTGTGACTGGAGTGGTGGGAATGAATGTGTTTGAGACAGCGAGGTTGGCACAGGATAGAACAGCGTTTAGACTTCTTGTACATAGGGTTGCTATGAGTCGCAAATGACTCGATGGCACATAACAACAACAACAACAACAACTATGGAAGACAGTTTGACGCTTTCTCAAAAAATTGGAAATAAATATACCATTTGACCCAGCAATTCCACTACTGGGAATATACCCCAAAGAGACCGTAACTGCCACCCAAACAGGTATATGCACACCTATGTTTACTGCTGCACTGTTCACAATAGCAAAGAGATGGAAGAAGCCCAACTTCCCATCAACGAGTGAATGGATAGAGAAGCTGTGGTATATTCACACAATGGAATACTATGCAGCACTGAAAACCAAGGAACTCATAAAATATACAAAATGAGTGACCCTGGAGGACATTATGCTGAGTGAAGTATCTCAGTCACAAAAGGACAAACACTGCATAATGCCACTGTTATAAAACAGGACTGACATGGGGTTTGGATGGAAACTAAGAAAAAGTGGGGATAAATAATGTACACTGCATTGAAACGGATGAGGGAAAGAACTGTTTAAAAGGAATATATGATGAAGTATGATTTGCATGACAACAGTCCAGCTTAAGAGGTCTATAGCAAAGTAGACTGGAAGAGCAGAGGAAAGAAATTGTGCAGCAATGAATCAGTTTTCTAAAGAGAAAAGTGAACTGGGGGGCTAGGGCAGAAAATATATGACAATGAATGAATGACTGGAAATCCAAGTTTTCTGTACACTTTCATTAAAATCACAATAAACAATTTAAAAACCCCTTTATTGTGGTTTGGAAAGTAGAGAATATCAGAAAGTTGTTTCCTTGTGTTTATTGACTAGACAAAAGTATTTGACCATGTGGATCATAATAAATTTTGGATAAGATAACATTGAGAAGAATTATTATTCCAGAACACTTAACTGTGCTCTGTAGTCATTTCAACAGGACAGTAGAATACTGCTGGGTGTAAAATCAGGAAACGTGTGGCTAACGGTTGTATCCTTTCCTCATGCCTATTCCATCTGTATGTTGAGCAAATCAGTCAAGAAACTTAATTATGAAAAAGAATATGGCATCAGGTTTGGAGGAAGACTCATCAGCAACCTACATTATGCAGATGGCACCAAGTTTGCTTGTTGAAAATGAAGAGGACCTGAAACACTTGCTTCAGAAGGTCAAAGATTGTATTTTTCAATATGGGTTACTTCTCAACATTAAGAAGACAGAAATCCTCACCACTGGACCAGCAGGCAACATCATGATAGATGGAGAGAAGATTAAAGTTGTCAGGGCTTTCATCTGGCTTGGATCCACAATCCACACCCATAGTAATAGTAGTCAAGAAATCAAAAGATGTGTTGCATTTGGCAAATCTCTGATAGAAGAATCGATGCCTTTGCATTGTTGTGTGGGAGAAGAGAACAGAAGATCCCGTGGACTGCCAAAGTAACAAGTAGCTGTGACTCATAGAAGGTGCTCCTTGGAGGCAAGGGCCGCTCGCTTCCTCACACATACCCAAGAGGAACCAGCCCTTGGAGAAGGACACCATGCTGGAAAAGGTGGAAAGAGCAAGAGAGGAAAGACTCTCATCCAGAGGGGCTGACACAGTTACTGCAGTAATGGGCTGGAGCAACAGGGACTGGGCGTGAGGACGGCACAGCGGACAGCAAGGTCCAGACATTCACAGTGTTTCTCTAAATCATAGTTGGCTTGGTGGCACCCAACAACAGGTGTAGGACTCTTTAAAGTCCTGAAGAACAGATCAATTTAAGGACTGATGAAGGTGGCCTAGTGGCAGGAAGCTGTACTGCAATCCCAAAGGCATGTGATTCAAGGCCACCAGTTGCTCTGCTGGAGAAGGATGGGCAGTCTCTTCCCATGAGATTAACTGCCTCTGAAAACCCGCCCGAGGGTCGGCAGAGGGTCGTTTCTCAGTGATTCACAAAAACAAGGTGCACCTGATCCAGCCCATGGTGTTTTCAGTTGCTTTGTTTGCATGTGGAAGTTGGACAGTGAATAAGGAAGGCTGAAGAAGACTCGGTGCCTTTGTATGGTGTGGGCGGAGTTCCGAGGATCCATGAACTGCAGAAAGAACAAGCAGATCTGTCTCGGGGGAGGGGCATCCAGTGCTTGCACTGGGTGTGTTGTCACGAGGGGCCAGTGCTTGGGAAATGACATGCTACTGGGGAAACAGGCGAAGCTCGTCGAGAACAGGGATCCACATGCACATCTGCGGACGGGAGCATGGCGGACACTTGTAGGGGGCATGGGATAGGGTGAAGTTCAGCTCTGCTGTGCGTGGCCCCCAGCACCACGCAATAAGGGTTCCCTGGCTGGTGCGGTGGAATTGGCACGTCTGCAGCTGGCGTCAGTGCGCAAGTTAAGAGTTTCCTAGACTGTGTGAATAACTGATGATTCCAGTGCCCTTTTCCCCCTTTGTTTTATGAAGAAGGAAGGAGTCCTGGTGAGTTGAAAATCCCCTCGGCTGCTCCATGGGAGAAATACAGAACAGTCATTTCCTATTCCAGGCCACCTTGAGTCACAGCGGACTGGACAGCAGTGGCTGTGAGGCTTGGTATTATGAAGAGAAAGTGCACACTCAGGAGTATTTGGGGGATACAGGGAAGTGTGGAGAGGGCCACAGACAGCATGGTCCTCTGGGTGGGGGTGTGTGCTCCAGTGTCCACTCTCCTTTGAGCAAGCTGCCATCCAAACCAGGACTGGCTTCCTGGAGGCTGGGCCCCGACGTGGGCAGCTCCATGTAGCCGTGACTGGTCCCACCTGGGTCCAGGCATGCACAGACTTGGCATCTCCCTGCCTGTGAGGCTCCACACCTGCTATACAGCTGTTTGCAGCATCCGGCTGTGGGATGCCTGGTTCACGAGGGGCCATGGGGTGTGAGTCTAGGTGTAGGGTACCTCCTTGGCCAGAGGCCACAGTTTGGAGGCCCAGGATTCAGAGCAGAGAAGCCTCAGAGTGAAAGACTCTGGCCCCTTAGGGCTCTGCCCTGACCCCAGCTCCTCCCTGCCCACGCTCCATACTTCCTGGGTCCGGCAGCCCTCACCGTAGGACCTAGCCCCTTTGGAGCTCACCCCTTACCCTGGATGTCCCACCCCCTAGAGCCCCTCCTCTGGAAGCCATACCCTTGGCTTGGCCTCTCCCCTGTGTGCACCCCTAACAGTTTGTATCCTTTCCAGGACTGGAAGGACCACCAGCATGTGTGTGGCCAGTCGCCAGCAGTCACTGTCCAAGCAGATGAGGTCCATGTTGATGACAGCGTCATTGAGAAGGTCACTGTATGAGGGGCTTCCAGGGGACACCTCCCCAAAAGAATGCCGAGGAAGCACAAGGAGGAGCAGGGAGCGGCCACTGGTGACCTGCAGGCGTTGGGGGGTGTGCTCTGCACTTGGCTGGGAGCCCTTTCTGGACCTGAGGACATAAGATCGTCACGTGGCAGGGAGCGGACAAATGGCAAGGACACTAAAGGGACAGTGGTGGGGACATGGGATGGTAGAGATGATGGCGGTGGGGATGCAGGACAGCAGATGTGACAGTGAAGAGTCGCAAGAGGTGACAGCTGTGGGGCCAGTGGTGGGAATCTGGGGCAGTGAAGGTCGTGGTGGGGACAAGGGACAGTGGTGAGGGACATGGACAGTCGAGGTGACCGCCGTGGGGACACAGGACAGTGTGGTGCACCCTCTCGGTGCTCTTCCTCCTCGGGGTGCACACATGTGTCCATCAATAAAGTTGAGACCCCACCCCGCTGAGTGGTCCCCTCGTCCTCAGGGCAGTGCTGTGGGGCTCTGTTCCTCCTCTGTGCCAGGACACTGTCCCCAGGAGAGCAGCTACCACTCCACTGATGGGGAGTCACATGGTGCTTGAGACTGTACCCCATGGGCTCACATGCGGCAAACACCCCGAGAAGTGGGGCTGCCTGGGACCAGCCTTCGGACAGCCACAAGTTCCCGTGACCAGGTTCCCTCCCAGCTGGTCAAGGTCCTCGCCACTAGCAGACACACCTGGAGCACCACACAGTGGACAGCCTCTGTTCTGCATCTGCCCAGCCAGGCAGGCCCCCTGTCACTGGCCTCTCTGGGTGGTAGATGCCAACCAAATCAACAAGTCCCACCCTGGCACCCAGAATTGGAGTCCCCAGCTTGCTCAGGACACACCTGCAGTCTGGACATTTCTAGAAGGGTCACTTCTGGTAGCCCAGCAGACCTGTCAGTACAGCTCTCACTCGGGATACCTACTTCAGGGACTACCTGAGGCAATGCGGACAGTGCTCTGTCCACCTCCACACCCTCATGCCCGAGTGTCCCACAGGAATCAGTGTGGAGGGAGCAAAGCAGACACATGTGGGGTGTCGACACCCCACTTTTTAGAAAGCCTGAAGGAGCCGTAGGCAGCTTTTGTGAGAGGGCCCTAGCCTTGTGATGACCAGCAGCTGCCCGGCAGGTTCTGACAGGAAGCAGGTGCGTGAAATGGGCTATGGAGGGCAAAGGAAGGACGCCGGTGCCACTGGGCCCTGGCCCATCAGCTGCCCCTCTCAGATCCCTCATTGGCTTGGCTGTTTCCTGAGCTCCTCAGTGAGGGGCTGGAGCCCCCACACCCCGTGTTCGCTGCAGCTGGAGTCTCACTGCCCGCCCAGCTGGAAAACTGAGCACAGGGCAGCCTGTCCTTGGTCAGGATGACGTCCCTCAGGCTGCAGATTTATGGGTGCAGCAGGTGGAGGGGCCATATGGGAGGTGGTCCTATAGCCACCAGCTCAGTCCCAGATCTCCCCCGGTACCCAGCTCCTTAGGTTGGGTCAGGTGGGCTGGGCTGGGGTGGACATGAGAGGAGCTGCACCAGCCCCCCTTCCCTGACTCCCAGGCTGTAGGCAGTGGGGTTCCCGCTTGCTGAAAAACACTCTGCACTGTTTTCTCCATCCAGGCCCCCGGCTGCCCGTGCCCACCATCTGAGGGCAACGTGGGATCTACCCCCATTGCACCACAGGCAGCCCACCTCAGGCCCCCATCCCTGTTGTGAGGATGGACAGGTTCAGCCAGGGGCCTGGGCTGGGTCGCAGGTACACCACCGACCTTCGCAGACAGGAAGAACTGCCTTTAATTCGGTACAAAAGTGCCCCCTCCACGCGAGGGGGACTTCCCGCTCCCGGGGGGTCAGGGCTGACTGGCCCTGGGGCCGCGGGGGTCTGGGGTCCATTTAGCAGCAGCTGCTCAGGGCCTTTCGGAATACGATCCGGAATTCGGCATTGAAGACGGTGTAGATGACGGGGTTGAGGGCACTGTTGACATAGCCCAGCCAGGTGACAGCGCTGACCAGGCGCGCAGACACGGGGCAGGCAGGACACAGTGCCCTGGTGATGTGCACCACGAAGAAGGGCGTCCAACACACCAGAAAGGCCCCTGGGGAGAGAGTCTGACGTGAACGGGTGGGTCCCCTCTCCTCCATAGGGCCCCCTTCTCTCCCCTCAAGGGGGGGTCCAACCCTTCCCTCAGCGGGGGAACCCCGCCCCTCACCTCCGTGGGGCGACCTCCCTCCTCTCCAAGGGCTGCTCTACAGGATCCCTCCTTTCTGCAGGGGGGGCCCCTGCCCTTCCCACAGCGGGGCCGCGCCCCTCCCGTTCATGGGCCCCTTCCCCTGAGGGGGGCCCCCTCTTCCCCTCCACGGTCTCTCCCCTCCATGGGCCCCGCCCCTCCGCAGGCTCCTCCCCTCACCTGTATGAGCCCCTCCACGGCCCACCTCCTTTCCCCTCCGCGGGAGGTCCTCCCCTCTGTAGGGCTCCGCCCCTCCCCTTCTGGGGACCCCCCCCTCCCCATTCCCTCCGCAGGGGTCACTTCCCTTCCCTCCGCGAGGCCCGGCCCCTCCCCTTCATTGGCCTTTCCCTCTGCGGGTTCCCCAGGCCTCCCTTCGCGCCCTGCTTGCTACCAGGACCGGTACACACCGACCACCACGGGCAAGACCTTCATGGCCTTGCGCTCTCGGCCAGGAATCTTGGCGCGCCTCCTCCTGCGGGCTTGAAGGGGAGGCGGAGGCGGGGGCGCGCCGGGGGCGCTGCAGGGGCCTTGAGGGTCTAGGGGCGCGCCGCGGGTGCTGCAGGGGTCGTGAGAGTTTAGGGACAGGCAGAGGTCCTGGAGGTCTAGGGGCGGGCCGGGAGTGTTGCCGGGCCCCTGTGGTTCTGGGGGCGGGCTGGGGGCGCTGCCGGGCCCCTGTGGTTCTGGGGGCGGGGCGGGGGCGCTG